GAAAACAAATGTCCTCTGGGTCATCTTTGGAGTTTGGGGCATTCCAACGATTGACCTGTTTGCCATTAGGGACAACAGGAAATGTCAATCTGTTCTGCTGTTGTGGGATCCTCAGTCCGGGATCCCTATCCAATAGTTTCCATCTCAGCTAGTAGTCTGCTCTCCTGTACACTCCCCCCTCTCTCCCCCCCCCGGATCCTGACCATCCCACAGATTATTCTCATTGCCGCACTGTGGCCAAGGCAATGCTGGTTCTCCAACCTTCTCACATTATCAATTCAGCCTCCCATACCTCTTTCTTTTTCATCGCGACCTACTCACAGAGAATCACGGACACACCTTGCATCCCCCACACAGTTCCCTGCATCTCGTGGCATGGCTGCTGCTTGGCTAAATGAGGAGGAAGAGCAGTATTCAGCAACTGTTCCACAGGTCCTAGTCAGCAGTAGAAAACCCTCTAGCAGAATGGCCTGTTCAGCAAAATGGAAGCGGTTTTTGGTATGGTGGTTGGCCCACGGAATTCAACCAACACTGGCTTCCTTCCAGGACCTCTTGGAGTACTTGCTGCACCTTTAGTTGTTGGGAATTGCACTTAGCTCATTGAGAGTGTATCTGGCAGTGATATCGGCATTTCATCCCCCGAAGGGAAGATCAGTCTTCTCCAATACTGTGGTAGCAACATTCTTAAAAGGGCTTCTTCATCTCTATCCTCTGGTCCAAGAGCTGGTTCCTCTTTGGGACCTTACCATGGTCCTAGGAGTTTTAATGGGGCCTCCATTCAAACCACTGGCATCTTGTACCTTTCCACTTTTGTGTCAGAGAACTGCATTCCTCGTAGCAGATAACATCTGCAAGAAGAGAATGAGAGTTGCATGCTCTAATGGCAGAGTCTCCTTTATATACAATTCTCCAAGGACAAAGTGAATTTACAATCGTACACCAAATTTTTGTCTAAAGTAGTTTCTCGGTTCTGTTTGAACCAGGTGGTATATTTATCTGTGTTCTTTCCTAAGCTGCATTCATCTCCGGAGGAGCAGCATCTCCATCCATTAGATGTCAGGCAATGTCTAGCCTTCTGTCTGGACAGAACTTAACTGTTTTGTGTTTCACCTCGCCTGTTCATGTCATATGCAAATCACATAAAGGGGAAAGTAGTCTCTTCGCAGATGATTTCTAAATGAATAACAACCTGTATCAAGACTGCATATGAAATAAGTTAGTCTATGCCTCCTCATCAGGTGTGAGCTCATTCTGTGAGAGTGCAAGCAATGTCAGTAGCCTTCCTCAGTGACGTCTCAATGTTGAAGATTTGCAGGGCTGCTACGTGGTTGTCCGTACGTATATTTATGAACCATTATGTAGTAACCCCACCTTCTAGGGCGGATGCAAGTTTTGGTAGGTGGTCCTGCAATCCTTGTTTAGGTAGTCTCTGAGCCCCACCTCCTGGGGTGAGTACTGCTTGTGAGTCATATAAGTGGAATACATGGCTGCATTTACTTACAGTGAGTAACCATTTCTTCTTCTTTAACTGTGGTTCTTTGAGATGAGATGCAGATGTGTATTCCAGGACCCACCCTCCATCCGCTGCATTGGAGTCTAGTCTCTGTGTAAAGGAACTGAGGAGGGGTCAGGGAGACTCTGCTTCATGTTGCCAGAGATGGGGCTGGTCATTAGGTGCGACTGCCACCCCTCTATGGGTACTGCTAGGCAAAATTCTCTGGCTCTGATGTGCTGCGTGTGTACACACCTAGGTGGAATACATGTCTGCATCATATCTCAAAGAACCACAGTTGTCATAAGTAACCATTTCTTTCCATTCTTCAGTAGCATGTTCTGTATTCACCCAGGCAGTGACGAGGAGGATCCTGAAGGGTCTCGGAAATCTATTTCCACCAGTCAAACATTCTACTCTGGTTTGGGACCTAAATCTGGTTCTTAAATGTCTTACAGGATTCTCTGTTTGAACCAATGACTACCTGCTCACGCCTCCATTTCTTGATTGAAAACACCATTTCTGGTAGCTCTCACATCAGCATGAAGAGTTAGGAATATAGGGGCCCTTATGGCATACGCCCCTTTCACGTAACTTTTCAAAGACAAGTTAACATTACAACCACACCCCAAGTTTTTACCAATAATATCTTCTGAGTTCCATATTAACTAACCCATTCATCTCCCAATCTTCCACCCTAAACCTCACCTAGACAAAAAGGAGGTGTTGTTACACACACTTGATGTCCGGAGAGCCCTGGCCTTCTATCTTGACAGCACTAAACCGTTCAAAGACTCCCAAATTATTTGTCTCGATTGCAGATACATCAAAAGGGTCTGCAGTCTCTAAAAAAAAGACTTCCCAAGTGGATATCTGATTGCATTATCTGTTGCTACCAATCTTGTAATCTCCAAGCACACTCAGGCATATGAACTCACTCTACAAGATCAGCTTCCACTTCTACGGCCTTTTGCAAAAATGTTCCTGTGACGTTGTGCAGTCTATATGGTTTTATAAAAATATGATGGGTGAATATAATGTAACTGGCATATGCTTCATGCAAAAGATCTCTTGTTAGGTGTCATTACAAAGTTTATAATCTACTGAGTGTGATCATCCCATTTGTAGAAATGTACCACTCTTGTATCTAAAACTAGAAATATAAAACATAACTCTGAGGGCCTATTGTCATTATGTAAAGTGTGGGCCATTAATGATGGCTTGGAATCTTGATGACTCCCATTAACCAGGACCATTGTCTGCAGATAGCTGTATTTACCTGTGAGTCTTCCTGTATATGTGTGTGCTGGCAAGTGAGTAATGCAGTCTTGCAGTGACATGTGATCATCTTTAACTGGAATCCATCTTTAACCTGGTGCTTTTCCAGTGAGGGGGGTGGAAACCCAGAGGGACACACGCTTCCTGCCTTCTGCAAAAGATATATAAACGGGTAGAA